TGTGATGATTACATGAGTTGAGCTTAAATGGAGAAGTGAGATTCACGTAGTCGACCATAACTTGTTTAGGACTGAGTCGTAGTAGTTGTTGTTGTTGCTTTTAAGTCTTTTTCTTGGCTGATAAGAAAAATAAGGAAATTAAGAATCTTAAAATTGAAAAGAATTTTGTAAGTGAAGTCTTGGAACTTAGGATGAAAAAAAATGAAGCAACCCCATTTCATTTGGTAGTTAATTTGTTAAAGGTCACTTACATTTAATTTTTAATTATTTTCTCCACGGATGCTCATATAAGCGATAGCGTTTTGTCACCCGGAGTGGATGGTTAGTTAATTATGTTTTATCCCTAAAAAATGTTTGAGGAGTTTACAGTTTACTTTGTTAATGATAAATACATCTAATGAACTGTGAAAATGGTAGCAGACTCATAAGCATAGCTGAATGGAGGAAGTAAATTGATGCTGGACCATGATTGGATAAGCCGATATAGAGTTAAGAGGAATTGGAGTTAACTAGTTAAAAATCGAGCATTTCGAGTCTAAGGCATTTTTTGGAATAATAATGGTTCAGATAAATTTCTATTGATTATGCCGTTGAGTTATCCAAGTAGTGTTATTTAGGACATGATTATTGCCACAGTACCATATGTCTTTACACGGCTAGTCTTTTCATCTATTGATTGACTTGATTCAATGCTTTCGATTACCTTGTTTTATGCTTCTGTTAGATTATTGTGGTTTGAAGTGTATGTAATGTAGTTCTCCTTTATTACAAAGAATTAGAAGTCTGCTGATTGGAAAGCAGCAAAGACATATCGTGAGAAGGGACATATATTCGAGGGCAAGGTTGAAGGCTTCAATGGTGGTGGTTTGTTGATTCGATTTTATTCTCTTGTGGGTTTTCTACCCTTTCCGCAGTTGAGCCCTTATTACTCTTGTAAAGGTACTAACTTCAACGCTTTTTAGCTTATATTGTGCTTGATAATCATTTTAAAAATGTTTGCCATCTGCAATTGCTTATCATTTTCAAGGTAATAATAAGCAGAGACGATAGATTTTGAGTTAGATTTTTGTATTGAAACAAGAGGGGTTGCTCTGATGGTAAGCAACCTCCACTTCCAACCATGAGGTTGTGAGTTCGAGTCTCCCCAACAGCAAGGTGGGAAGTTCTTGGAGGGAAGGATGTCGGGGGTGCGTACACACTACCCTCCCCAGACCCCATTAAGTGGGATTATACTGGGTTGTTGTTGTATTGTTTCTATTGAGTTACAATCCTTGGGGGAACATCTGAACATATTATCTTCTAGTCAAGATTGACAAGATATTTAGTTCCTAAAGTTTTGTTTATCTTACTTATTTCCATTACTTTGTAGAACCACAAAAGACCATTCAAGAGATCGCAAGAGACTTGACCGGTTCTGTCCTCTCCGTGAAGGTACCGATATTTATCACTTAAATACTATTCTTCAACTTCTTCTCATCTAAAGCATGCACATTGCCCTTGTAATGTATCCTTGGTTTGAGCTTAATGCATCATGAAGATTTGGAACTTAGATTTTAGATGCCACATTACAATTTCTAGTGCTTAAGGTTTGCAGAATGTTGCAAAATTCCAAGAAGGTAAGATTTCCTTTTCGTGAATCTCACATCGGATAGCTACTTGTAAACGAAGTTCCAAGTATGATGTAAACTTTCTGTGCCATGATTCTTTTGGTCTTTTTGGATCCGTTCATTGACCACAGAATCCGTTTTGATTCCAACAACCTATTTTTTTCGTTCTATTAGTCTTGCTTAGTAATTTAAGGATATGTTTTTATGTACTTGGAGTTAATTTTCTTCATCTTGACTTTCCTTTACGATTCAAATATCAGTTAACATTTAGTCTGCTGTCAGGTAATCCAAGCTGATGAGGACAAAAGAAGGTTGATTTTCTCTGAAAAGGATGCTAGCTGGTCGAAGTTTTCTAATCAAATTAATGTAGGTGACATTTTCCAAGCGAGGGTCGGTTCAGTCGAGGATTATGGTGCTTTTGTTCATCTGCGCTTCCCAGATGGTACTTTTTCATAAGAGACAGACTTGTCAGTCTGGATACGTTTTAAGCCTGACTATTCCGGTACTTATGTCAATCTTCGAATTTACCATGTGATGCAGGAACATATCACCTTACCGGGCTTGTCCACGTCTCAGAAGTGTCGTGGGATTTAGTTCATGATGTGAGAGATATCCTTACAGAAGGTGACGATGTGAGGGTCAAAATTATAAATATAGACAGGTATTTTCTCATGATCATGCTTACGTAGATGTGTCGTCTACTACTGCTAGCAAACGTTTTCTTTAAACAATATCGCCTGCTGAGATAGAACTTGATAGGCTGAGATGTCTACCGCGTCTGCCATTTGATTGAATTAGAAGGCAGTGATTGTTTTTAATTCTTTTATTTTCTCGCCCGGTCTCTTTCAATTTCACAATACGTGAACACATTGCAGAGAAAAATCTAGGATTACTTTGTCAATTAAACAATTGGAGGAAGATCCATTGCTGGAAACACTGGACAAAGTAATTCATAAGGTGAGATGTGCAAATGATAGAATTTTGGCGTCGCCTCCTTCTTGAAATCAAATTTTTCTCTAGCTGCGTAATATTTTTACTGGTAAATTACAACACTTTGCAGGAAGCATCCGTCGACACTAATTCCTTGGATTCGGATGGCAACTTTGTTATTGAGCCTCTTCCAGGGCTTGAAACAATAATTGAAGAACTAATGCAAGAAGATGGGTATGATTGAAGTTTAATTCTTGGCATTAAGTCTTTCATTAGGCTATTATATGAAGATGTTATTAGACCTATTTGCTTGAACTGTTTTCTGCTCATAAATCCATTATGAATTGTCCCCTTTTGTCTTTTTGTCTTCTTGAGCTGAGGGTCTTTCGGAAACAGTCTCTCTACTCCTTCGGGTAGGGGTAAGGTCTGCGTACACACTACCCTCCCCAGACCCACTAGTGGGATTTCACTGGGTCGTTGTTGTTGTTGTTGTTGTAAATCTATTATGAATTGTCTCCTTTCGTACTTGAATGTCTTGACTCTTGATAAGTATTTGTCCATCTTCCGTAGTGAGGTTATGAGCTGATTAATTGATCATTTGAAAATAAAATTTAGAGACCTAGAGATAAATTAGAAAACTTCACCTCCATTGCTACGACGTGTATCCTTGTAAGTGCTCGTGCCATGTTATGAAAATTGAAGATTAATCCATATGCGATACCACTTCTCATCAAGACCATATGGTCCCAGAGGCAGAGTCAAGATTTGAAGTTTATGGGTTCAGGATTCTTGACCATTTAAGTTAGTTGGTTCTATATTAGTAATTTATACATATTCAATAGATCTCTTAATCTCTTAAGAAAAATATAGAGTTTGAACAAAAGCTACTAGGTTCGGCCGAACACGTAGCTCGTGCTCTAGCTCCGCCTCTGTATGGTCCCTTGACATTACCACTATAAACAAAGCCTGGGGGTCTAAGTTGGACGAGGACTTGACATAAACGATCATTTGGTAACATCGGATCTGATGTTTAGAACTTGAACACTATGGCTTCTATCATTTCTCCAGACAATCATAGATGTAAATCTCTTATCCCATAGGAGTAACTCTCAGGAAGCTTCGTTAAAAACATCTCTTTGATTAAATTGGCCTGTATTTTGATTCTTCATTCGTTCACTTCCTTGTATATATACCATTATCTGCACTAATTTAGCACATCGAATAATTATACACGACAGTTTTCTGGTTAATTCACTTGATTAATGAAGCAAATCTGACAAAGTTGTGTTTTTGTTCAATAGCATATATGATAATATTTGATTCTTCATTCGTTCGCTTCCTTGTATATATACCATTATCTGCACTAATTTAGCACATCGAATAATTATACACTGACAGTTTTCTGGTTAATTCACTTGATTATTGAAGCAAATCTGACAAAGTTGTGTGTTTTTGTTCAATAGCATATATGATGTGACAATTACTCGACAAGGATTTGAGAAGCGAGTCGTTTCACAGGATTTACAGCTTTGGTTGTCAAATGTAAGTTGTGTCAAACATAAACCATATGTAACTCACAGTATTTATGCACAATAGATGTCCAATCTTCTCTGTTATGGCATCCGACAGGCACCAGCTTCTGGAGATCAGTTTACTTTACTTGCTCGGGCTGGAAGACAGGTATCATCTTTCACCTCACGCTTTCCCCCTTCTAACAACCCACGCTGCCTTTTGCAAATCTGAAATAATTGTTAACGATCAGGTGCAAGAAATACAACTGACGACATCACTTGATCAAGAAGGAATAAAAAGGGCTTTGCAACGGGTCCTAGAACGTGTACCATGAGTCGTATCTAAGAGCTCCAGGATTACAGCAAAACATGTAAACCGCAATACATAAAGTTAACGGGAGAAGCTCACATAGTTCGCTATTTCAAGTTGTCCAGGAATTGTACAGAACAGTACTTCAAGAAGATGTACAAAACAACACTTGTGAAATCACATTTATCAGATATAGTTCTTAAAACCTAAAGGACCTACGAGCTGCCCCCTACGATTCGTGTTAATAGACATGATAACATGAACTCATGCAGTTTCTTGGTACATTGCTACCTATGTTAAACTTGATTCTTTTTCTGCACTTCTTCTTTATTTCCAGAATTTGCTAATGTTTTGTTAATCTTCAATTTGCTAAAAGTTGAGACCACTCATTATGCTCTACATTACATAATAATCTCCAGACTTATTTTCTCTACATTACAATTTATTTCTCTGTTATGTTATCTATTGTTTAAAACCACTTTTAATGTTTTTGCTTATACTACTCCCTCGGGGTAGGGGTAAGGGGTAAAGTCTGCGTACTCAGTAGCCTCTCCAGACCCCACTTATGGGATTACACTGGGATGATGTTTTTCATAGAAAGGCAAAAACATTAAACTACATTTCTACCAAGTGACCAGAATATATTTAAGGACTGCTGCAACTATGTTTAAGTTAACATTATACATACAGCATTCTACTGTGTCTCAATTCTAAAATTTAAACTATATACTGTATATAATAAACACAATGAAGAAAACAATGAATTTACATTAAGTAAATCCTAGTATCTATTATAACACCACAGATGAATCCTATGCTCATCAGAATATCTTCTATTTCTCTCTAGCCAAATGTTCCACATAATGCGTATAGGGGCTGTTCTCCAAATCTTTTCATATTCCCAGCCAACTGTGCTTGCCAACTTAAGAGCTATGTTACTCAAGACTCTTCAAATATGTTGTTGGGTGCGTGTCGAATCCTCCAAATTTAGTGCATTTTTGGAGGATCCGACACCGGTGCGGCAAAACTTTTGGGGAGTCCGAGCAACATAGCTTAAGAGCAGACCCTGTACATTGGCATGACCATTGCACCCCAAACAAACATAAAATTACTGATCAAACCTGCCAAGAAAATTCACAATGAAGTAATAAATGGATCGGTTGGCTCTACAGCCTTTTCACACAAGAAACACCAGCTGCACTTTTCAAAGCCTTTCTTCTGAAGAAAATCTTGTGTTAAGTATGCATTTCTTGAAGCCACCCATCCAACACAAGCAACTTCTGTTGGTGCTTTAGTCTTCTATCGTTGAAATTTCCCAATCGTTGAAATTCCTGCTGAACTATAGCTGCCACCCTGTTTCATTGTAACAATTAGCGACAAAGCAATTCTTGTTCACTGTGGTGCTATAAAGAACGGGGAAGTTAACTTTAAGTATCTCTGAATGCAGCCAATTATCGTCCCAGAATATGATCTTAGCACCATTCCCAACTTCCAGCTTGATGTTCAACTGATATTCACCCAGCCAAAACAAGCAGACATTATATCATGCACATCTTGATACCTCTTTCAGCTGCGGCAAAGACTGGGACGAGAAGAAGAACAAATATTGATAAACAAGAAGAAAAAACTAATAATTGAATGAGAAAGCACTTCTAATCCTTTTAATGGACAAGAGCAGTTAACTTTTCACCGCTAATCCTTGCGAATAAAGTACTTGTCCCTTCTTTTAAAAAAAAAATCCTTTTGTGGTAAGAATAATTAAATGTGGAAATGGAAAATGTTACAAGGACCAGTTGAAAAAGGAGTATAGCTAGAAAAAAACATAAAAACACAACCCTTGCTGATGCTAAAATGAGTTGTAACAAGTAATATGTGGGTATGTTCTAGATTTGATGTACAAACCATGCCACCTCCTTAAAAATTATTTTGCAAGAGAATTGAAAGATTGATATACTCCACTTAAACTTGGAACCAGATGATGGATATGACAAGCATATAGGCCTATCAATATTCCAAGTTTTTAAGACTACAGAATCAAAACTTTGGAAACAAAGAACAGCGGTTTTGTATTCGGTTCTAATTCTGAAAGAGACGATATGAAAGAGCCTGTGCAAGTTGATCTGATGATGTTAGTGGGAGTATTATACAGGAGCCACGAGAGGCACATAGCCAGCTAAAAAAATGCTCCTATTTATCTCCCAGCAAATCTGCACCTTCTTGATGCCTTATCAATGTTACTTACTTCATCTTTAAAAAAAATTACAAAGAAATTTATAAAACTAAAGGGATTGTAGAAAAATTGCAACTACGAAACAGAACATCACACTACAGCGGCATTAAGGAAAAGCATACGAATAAGGATGAGAAACATACCTCAGAAAAGGATCTTTTAAGAGAATGCTACATAGATGCATTTTCGGGTAGAATTTAGAGGAAGGATCCAGAACTCAAGCCAATGAATCCATATACGACTTAATGTTCATAATATCTTCTTTGGACTTTGGATTATTTTGTGGTTTGAAAAGCTTCCACATTCCCACTGGATGTTGACTTCTCACTTCAGCATTTTTTGCAAATCTTCCATATATTGCTTCACACTCTGGATAAGGCTTGCAATATAGATTATAAAATTTCATTCTACTAGGTTTAATCAAATCCCTCAATCCCACATCATCATCAAGTCCTCCTATTGCTCTTAAATAGTCAATTACCTTGAATCTTGGTAGAATATGTTTCTAGAAAANATCCCTCAATCCCACCTCATCGCCAAGTCCTCCTATTGCTCTTAAATGGTCAATTACCTTGAATCTTGGTAGTATATGTTTCTCGAAATTCACCCCCAGGTACTCTGGAACTTCAACAAGATACTGAATATCAACTTTCATCACGTGGACTAAAAACTGAATCTTCTTCTCAACATCCTCTACGCGATAAAGTATCACTCTCGGCTCTCTCCATAACACAGAATAAGCATCCCTTAAGGTTAATCCATGATTGCGTAAGCAATCAACCCTTAGTTTCACCTCGTAACCAGCCTTAAAAGCCCCCTCATGAAAAATATCCTCCTTAATAGATTCCCTACATTTCAAACTCTTAAGCAGCTCCAAACATCGCGATAACTCCCCAAGTTCCAACGCAAGAATTCTAGGATCTCTCAGTACATGTTTCTTAACCACCTCCATGTTAAAACCCAGAACTTTAAATTCATCAAGCAATCGCTTAAACTTACTTTGAATCCCAAAGGCCAAAACACCTGGATACACGCAGAGAAGGCGATCAAATCCAACCTTGTCAATCCTAAAGGCATCAACGACGAATTCAAAACAGTCATGAATCTTGTCTGCAGACATCGTAGTTACCATGGGATGTGTCTCCAAAACCTTATTTAGAGTAATATCACTAACCCCTAAATCCTTTAGGCATTTCAGAGACCCCAAAACACAACTATAATCTAGTTCAAACTTCACCGAGACCACCAGAATATTCCGAATTGCTAAGGAGGATAAATTGGACCCCTCTTCTAATCCTCGGATGCCTCCTTCCCATTTCTTGATAGCATCATATTCTAGAACCCTGGGGCAACTATTTATCACGGACACAAGGAATTCTTGAGATGGTTTCAAGGATAATAGAATCTTAAGAGACTTTTCAATTTTGGTGGGGTCTAGATTTAGTAAACGACGATTCTTCTCGAGAAAATTTGGAAGTTCTAGAGCTGGAAAACCATATCTTTTAAGAAGACTAGACACCGCGATGAGATTTCTTTGGGGGGAACTTTCTTGGAAGTGTAGAGGATATTGAATTTGGGATATCTGTTTTGCAACTGTTGGGTTAGTGCGAAAATAGCGGAGACTTGGATTTGGAATTAGAGTAGCGGGATTGGTAAATGACGTGACAAAGAATCTGATAATCCTAATGGTCATGGTTTCAGCTGGTTAGTAAGTACTAAAAGATGTATGTCTGTATGATCAATCATCTGCATTCAAACATTGCATTGCTGGCCTGAAACAATGACTCAACACGTTAATATAAAATGCGGTGCCAGTGAACTTTGTTAAGAGACAATTATCAGAATCTGGATGTGTATGTGAGAATATAAACTGCACATTTAGCTAATCCTGGAACACATTTAAAATTGCATCTTTCCACCTAGTTCTGCAGGTTACTCACATATTAGCGCAACACCACCCGCAACTAGGAATATCATGACCTATGTTGTGCGGACTCTCCAAAATGCTTCCGCACCCGTATCAAATCCTCCAAAAATGCACTACTTTTGGAGGATCCAACACGCACCTGACGATATTTTCGCAGAGTCTGAGTAACATAGATCATGACTTTCACATTCATAGTCTCTCAGTAATTCCACATAATTTTTCCCTTTTTTGTAGTACGGAACAGACGATATGTCACTCAATTCACATGTAAAAATTGAATACAACAGCAATAACTACTATACCTTAGTCCCAAACAAGTTAGAATCGGTTATATGAATCCTGACTACGTCATTTAAGTTAAACTCATATCATCATACAAGTTAGAATCGGTTATATGAATCTTGACTATGTTATTTAAGTTCAACTCATATCATCATACAAGTTAGAATCGGTTATATGAATCTTGACTATGTTATTTAAGTTCAACTCATATCATCATACACATGTAAAAATCGAATAAGCCAAAGTATTCAAATACTACCATTTTCAAAGACTTAAATACCTCTTTAATCATTGGCATATAAGTGAGAACAGTCCTTTTTCTTATTTTCCTTTTATATCACATATATACATATCTAAACCGTTTTTACAACTCACACCTAGGAGTGTCAAATAAGCGGATTAGATAGTACACAAATGAACGGGTCAAATTTACTTGGGCTAAAATAGGCGGGTCAATACACAAATGATACTTCCACTACAATCTCAAACAAAGTTGAGTTCGGCGATATGAATCCTAAATTCTTTAAAAATGGTAAATCCACATAAAATCAGCAAGGGGTAAAATTAAAAATAAATTGCAAGACCCAGCAGCCCACCAAGTTTGAAGCTTTACTAAACAAATTGCAAAAACCTGGAACCAAAGGATGGATTTTTATTTTTTAAAATTTATATTCATTTAGGGTTTAAAAACTGAATATTTGCTTCGACAATCTGAAAATTAGAAAAAAAAAAAGGTATACAAATTGCAAAACTCTGATTTATTTTCCATTTATACAGAAAGTAAAAAACAGAAATAGATTTTAAACTACATATACAATCACCTTGACAAAAAAGATCCAAATTGCGATCTTCAAACAGGGAAAAGAGAAAGAACCAGAATGCCGGCCTGTGTGCCTGTGTGTGTGTGAGAGAGAGAGAGAGGAGAGAGAGAGCGAGTACGTCGTATTTACACCACTTTTTTGAAAAATACACCTTTAACTACTGGAAATAGAACCCTTATTTTGGCTTTTGTTGCAATATTGATCCACTGCTATTAAAATAGTTGCTTACTTTTACCCCTTAAACTATTGGAGATATAGAAAAAGTACCCTATTTTGGGTTTTTGGTGCAATATTGACCCAGTTCTGTTAAAACAGTTGCTCCATTTTGCCCCTTAAGCTATTGGAAATATAGTAAAGTACCCTTCTTTTTGTTTTCAGTGCAGTATTGACCCGGTGCTGTTAAAATAGTGGCTCAATTTTGTCCCTTAAACTTTTGGAAATATAACAAAAGTACCCTCGTTTGTTTTTTGGTGCAATATTGATCCAATGCTATTAAATAGTGGCTCAATTTTAACCCTTAAGCTATAAGAAATGTAGAAAATGTACCCTTCATTTGGTTTTTGGTGCAATATTGACCCATTCCAGTTAAAATATTGGCTCAATTTCGCCCCTTAAACTATTGAAAATATAGCAAAAGCACCCTTGGTTTGTTTTTTAGTGCAATATTGAGTCAATGTTGTTAAAATAGTTGCTCAATTTTGTCCCTTAAACTATTAGAAACATAACGAAGCGTAGTTTGTTTTTTGGTGCAATATTGACCTAGCGCTGTTAAAATAGAGACTCAATTTTGCCCCTTAAACTATTTGGAGATAAAGAGAGAAATCGTGTGTTAGGAAATGTTCAACACATTTTCAAGGCACTATAACGTTTGAGCAATACTACAAAATATTTTCTTACGACCTTTTTACCAATGAATTTGCATTACTTAATGCTGGAAAATACCATTGTTCTATCATATATTAGTGTTACCTTGCTTCATGAGACTACTCCCTAATCGTTATACTATGTTTTTTTATCACATTTATGGAACACGATTATAAGAATTTATTTCCTTATTTGTTTCTTGTGAGGTATTATCTTAGGGCAAGAGTCCAAAAGGGCCGGATTTGGTGTAATAGTTACACGTTCACGTGTATTAAGTAACTTTTGTAAAGATCATATATTTATATTAAAAGAGTCATTAAATGTACATGAATATTTTGGTCGGGATAGGAATAAATGTAATACTAACTTGAAATAACTGAAACTTAAAAATCTTGAACAAGTAATGCAATACTTCATCGCTGGTCTATATATGCAAATGCAAATGATGTTTCATCTCCAGGCCACTACTAAAAATCAGGTGATTTCCGTCCACAATTTCCGACCAAATTTCGACCGTTTTTAATTGGACGGAAAAATAATGGTCGTTGTCACACCTCCTTTTTACACCTATCCCGAAGGATAAATGTATAAGGAAATTTTTCCATTTAAAGTGACATTATTCGGATCGGGACTATTTATTTAGAGTCGCCACTTGGGAAAGGTATGACTTTTGGTGTCCCAAGTCACCGGTTTATTTTTGAATCCCGAACCGAGGAAAATTCTCGACTTCCCGATTGGAATCTACGAACCAGAAATTCTACGTAAGGAATTCTGTTGACCCGAGGGAAGGTGTTAGACACCCCCGGATCCAGTGGTTCTAGCACGGTCGCTTAAATTGTTCTAATGGCTAAATATCTGGTTTTAATACATGTTATAGCTTATGTGCTTTTATTAACTTTAAAATCGCTTTTATTATTATTTTATAATAGAATTGCAACGTCGTAAAAACGCGTCTCGAACTACATCACAATCAATGCACCCGTGGTTGTTAACATATTTTGACTCCGTTGAAATTTGAATTTGGGTCACATAAATGTGCACCCGAGTTTAGGAATGTAAGTTTATTAAAATCGCGCCTAAAGAGTCTAACGCATTATTATTTGTGGAAGGCTGTGAAATTCGCTAAACGGCCCATCCCGAAGCCTAAGCATTTTAGTATAAACATTTATAGAGGGTCCCGCAATTTATTTATTTGTTCGGCGAGGCTCGTCTCATTTTATTTTTAAAGGTAATCTAAAAAGCGACTATAATTTTCTACCTAATTCTTCTCTAAAAATAGAGAAAAGGTCCTACTTAATTCATTGCGAGACCAATTGATAATTTCGCACCACGGTCTATCCATTGGGCTCTAAGATAAGCCCAACGAAGGGACATTACACCCAGGCCTGTACCACAAAATTGGTCAATTACTGACTGTGGCCCAGACCCAAAAGGAAGCCCACATTCAGAAGGCTTGCATGAGCCAAACCCCTCAGAAGACCTCATTTCGAACCTGTATGGCCACAGTCAAATTTCAGTTTCGATTTGGGCCAACATTCGCAGCCCAAACACCCCCAGATCGTATAGCCAACTAACGTTTAATCCCCCAAATAGATTCCAATTTCAGTTAATACACCCAAAGCAATACAAATTAAAGACCACTCCATATGAATTAAACCAAAATGTTAATAACTGAAGGAGTCGAGACCGTCAATATGTCACAGTTTTAATTAGAGCAGCCCAAACAAACCAAATTACAAGATGCGATTACTGATTTTCAAGTGAGCCATTAGGAATTACTGTTTCCAGCTTGATCTAGTTTTGTCCCAATTGTTTGCCTTATCTAAGACGTTAACTCCATTAGACTAAACTAAACATTCAATCAATCATAGACCTACTGATCCTTCTAAATTAACAACCATTTGCTTATGCTTAATGCTCAAAGATTTCCAGGAAATAATGCTCTAATCAACTAACAATTGTATTAAGATTATAAACTGAAATTGTAAACTTGATATAATCTAACAGGAAGTCCATTATGCAGTCAAACATTAATCCAGTTATACAAACGACATAAAATTCCATTAAGCTGAATATTTTACACGTTAAAATTGAATAGCAACAGGATAATTTGAGATCAACTTCAAACAACACCTATACTTCATTTCCACGGACTTGAGAGCTTTAGAACATGTACCTGAATCTGAAATAGAATGAGAGGAATGAGAGGCCAGCAACGGTAACAAACAAATAGCCCAAAAAATGAGATCAACAATCTAGGAGGAGTTCACAGCAAAATAAAACCAGAAAACCAACTATAGATGAGGTGAATAGACCACATATACTTGGAATTGAGCCCAGAAATTCCAGAGAAACCAATCAACACTGAGAAACACCGATAACAACTTAAAAACGAACCTCGAGATACTTGTAAGCACTTTTTAAAACTTGAGCATAGAACAGAAACAGAGAAACTGATCTAATTCTGATTCTAGATGAACTAACAGTTGAGTTAAGAGTTGCAGCCTGAGAAATGATCAATGTAACAGTTTATTTTTTCGTTTTTCGAAGATTTCTATTGTTTTTGGGTTTTTTGGAGTTTGAATTTCAAATCCTAGATCTGAAAATTGAAGAACACACTTTGGGGAGGAAATTTTGAGGCTAAAAACTTGTGTGTTCAAGGCCTTAATGATGCCATTTTATAGGAAAAATAAGGTGCAGCCTCTGATTTTAGTTTTTACATAATAGTCCCTATATTATTTTCAATTTTTGCTTACTTAATCCTTTATTCCCTGGCTTGTTACCCAAGTTACACCCCTAAATCTGATTTGAAACCTATCTAGAGTGTTCTAGTAGCTTCCAATTCAGTTATTTAAAGATTTCCTTGCCCCCATATACCTAAATTACCACTGCATTTAAACTAGAATTACAGTTATAACCAGACAATTTCCTAAACTCTGAATTGCCAGCTATTGAAGAACAAACCCAATTAAACTCGTATTAAATCTAGTAATTAAACTCAGCATTAATGACCAAATAGTGACGACCCAAAGGGTCATCACCTGTTTTATTAGTCATTTCGAGCTTCCGAGACCTTTAAAACCTTATTATTAGTTGCCTCGATTTGCGTGCACAGTCCGGGCGTGAAGTCGAAAAAATTTTATGTTGAAAAATATGAATTATGTGAAAAATTTGAAGAATTTTGATATTAATATTGTTAAAATTGACTTTGGTCAACATTTTTAGTAAACAGACCCAGAACCGTGAATTGACAGTCTCGGAAGATCCGTAGAAAAATATGGGACTTGGGCGTATGCCCGAAATAGAATTCCGAGGTCCCAGGCCCGAGAAATGAATTTTTTCGTGAAATTATTTTCTGAAAATATTTAAGGAAAATAAAAATAAAATTTGATAAAAAAAATAATGGTATCGGACTCGTATTTTGATTCTGACGTCCGGTACAGGTCATATATATTGGTTAAGCGCTTCCTGTAAAGTTTGGTTGAAAACAGATGTCGTTTTACGTGTTTCGGCCTTAAATTGGAAAATTTGGAAGTTATGAAATTTTGAAAGATTTCTTGGATTTAAGGCCCAAATCATTGATTTTGATGTTATTATATTGGCGATTTGATCGCTCGAGCAAGTTCATATGATGTTATTGAGTTAGTGTGTGTGCTTGGTTGGGAGCCCCGAGGGCTCGGGAGAGTTTCGGAAGTGGTTCGGAGTGGATTTGCACTTGAAAACTTAGCAGATTTTCTGCAATTTTTGCACAGGCCTTTTGTTCTACGCGAACGCGACCTTGTCCCGCTTTCGCGATGCCTTGTGCCCCCAGCCTTGTACGCGTTCACGGAAGCCCACCGCGTTTGCACTGTTCTGCCCTTGTCCTTCTTCGCGTTCGCATGCCCCATCCACGAACGCTATATACA